GAGTCCCAATAAAATGCTCAACCTGAATGCAATCATGAGGAAACGTCAGATAAACCAAAACTGTGGCTAGTCTACAGTGGTTAACCTTTAGCTACGTAAAGATAATGAAGGTCAAGGAATGAATGGAAAACAGTTCTAGGTTGAAGGAGACTAAAAAGTTTAGTGTGTGACCTGAAAGGGCTTGACTGGGACAGTAGGTAAAACTTGAATGGAATCTGAGCACACATGGGTTGCTTCTTTTTTATGTTTCGTGGGCTTATAACTTTTGTAAATTGGCTTTTTAAATGAAGAAAGCCCCACGATCCTTAAAAAGTCAAACTTCCACAGATGGTTAACCTGTGACACATTTTCCTTTGCAAGCGTGACTCTGTGGGACCAGAAGAAAAACAAAGCATTATGTGATACTTTATTAGGTCAGCAGTGAGGTAGAGTCAAAGCCATCCAGGTGATGCTAGAAAGAAGAAACACAAGTCGCTGATGTCTAGTTTGATGGGCAGGAATGAAGCTACAGCAGAGAACTCACCTCCCTGCTTTCTTTCCCCTATACTGCTTCCCAGATGCTGCCAGCATCATAGAGTGGATCGGGATTTAGCTAGGAGGCTGATAGGACTCAGAGGGCTGCAAAGGTGAGTGAAAGCAGCCATTGTCTTGCACCCCTGAAAGACTGTTAGAGCAAAAGAAATAGCTCACTGAGGGCAGAGCACACCGTCCATACTTCACCAGAGAGAATCACAGGGTAAGACTAAGTCAGCATTGTTTCCAAACCATCTCTGTATGATATCATTCACAAAAGATAAACTGAATTCCCCAAATACTTCTTATTTAAGTTGGAAATATTTCATACAAGCACTGACAGGTGAAGTATAGCTTATACAATGGACAGGAAGCAATTGATATTATTTTCTGACCTACCTGTAGAATGTTTTCTACTGAAAAATTTCATAAAGTTTCCAAACTTGTCCAGTACAAGATATTCATTTCAAGATCCCTATACTGTGATTTTTGGATTTTTTTATCCTTATATACTGGAGGTAGCATCCCATATATATGAAGGTAGTATGCTTAACTCTGCAGAAGCATGATCTTTATCTTTATTCTGAGGCATGTTCAGTTTTACTCCATGTCTAGCTCTCACTGGATCTGTTTCCCTGCTTTCCAGCAGGAAGTTTAAAACAAGACAGTTCAAAGGGTAACTGGGAGTGGTCAGGAATGTCTGAGCCAGGAACAAGGATAGAAGTGATGACAGGCTGGAGGAAAGACTAAACCCTGAGCTAGAATTTTATTACAGCACAGGACAGACAAATGTTAAGCTGAAAGAACGCAGAGCTCCTAGAAAAGTCATATTCTCTGCTTGAGAACGCAGGAATTAATAGCACTTTAATTTACAATCAATACAGGATTATTTAAGGGGGAGGGCTAGAGAGATGGCTCGGTCAGTAAAGGTGCTTACCTGAGTTGGATTCCCCAGCGACCACATTAAAACACAAGAACAAAAAATTCATGGTGTGCACACCTATAATCCCAGTACTGGAGAGGCAAAGACAGGAGGACCCCTGGGGCTTGCTGCTCAGCCAGTCTTGCCTGGATAGACAAGCTCCAGGTACAGTGAGAGACCCTATTTCAAAAAAAAAGGTGGAGGCTCAGCAAGACAGCTCAGCAGGTAAAGGTGCTTGCTGTTAGGTGTAACAACCTGAGTTCAATGCCTGGGACCCACAGGATGGAAGGAAAGAATCAAGCCCCCTGCAAAATGTCTTCTGACCTCGACACATGTGTGTGGCACTCACGCAGACAAAATAAACAAATGAAATGTAATTTAAAAATAAGGTACAGGGAGTGAATATGATATGATCAAAATAGATTGTATGAAATTATCAAAGAATTAATTAAATATTATTAAAAATAAAAACAAGTTAGAGAGCAACTGAGGAAGATGCCTGAGGTGCACCTCTGGCTGCCACATATCTATGCACACCCACACACATGTGTGCACACCCACACACGTGTGTACACACCCACACAGAGAAACACACACAAAAGGTGAAGGAGAAACTACAAAAACATTAATTCTTTTCTGTAAGCCACTTCCCCCAATCCTTTTAGAGTTAGGTACTATACTGTAATAATGACGATCAAAGTCGTACGAAGCTTGCTTCCTTGTATTTCTGTAGTATCTTCAAACTCATGGCCACTTACATATTTTCAGCAAGTGGCTGTACTTGAATAGTTGTAATAAGTTTTGAATTGAGAGCAATGCAATTGGTAGGGTGTCCATCTCTTTAAAACATTATTTTCCAAGTATTTTATTTCTGAAAGTAAAGCAGCTGGTAGCAGGGAAGGATGCATGACGTGATGCAGCCAACACCAGAGGGAGCTGTAACTTAGAGACGAAGCATGGCTTTTGGATAAATGTAAAAGTTGAGATGGTACACATGCGGCCAGCACAGAGGAGGGAAGGCAGATGGGTGCATTTTTATTTACTTTTAGCTGTTCATACACTTACAGATCCTTAAAAATAAAAATAAACTAGCAGAAGACAAAAAACGTAAAATACTATGATTTAAAACCTGGGTTAAAACAATTTTTGCTCTTTTTTTAGTGCACCATCTATACTCATCTGCTTCACACTCTGTTAAAGTTAAAAATTAACCAGTGGAAGAAATGTCATAACTTTCTCTTTTCAAATCATTTTACATATTTCAGAAACTATCACAGCAGCATCCTTCCAGCAACACCAAAGGCAAAGGTTCCTGTCGAGTCTGGACTTTCAGAACCCTGGAATGTTGTCTCAGGTGACCCAGCCATCCCTTTAAGCCCTGCAGTATATAAAGTAACTTTATGCTGCAAAAAGGGGCATGAGATAAAGTTTTTAAAATTTATTTTTAATTGTGATAAAATGCACATATCCTAAAATTTACCATCTTAACCATTTTACGTGTAGTTTGGTGACATCAAGTACATTCACATTATTGTGCAACCAGTCTCCAGACCTCTTCATCTTGCAAACCTGCAACTCTGGACCTATTCAATGCTAACTTCCTATTGCTACCTCCCCCTCCCCAGCCCTGGCAGCCACCATTCTACCCTATGAGTCTGATTATGCCAAGTACCGCATATAAGTGAATTATACCGTATTTTTCCTTTTGTTACTCATTTCACTTAGCATAAGATTCTTGAGGTTCATCCGTATTATAACACTTATCATCTTTCAAAAAAATAACATTGCGTTGTATGCAGAGACAATAGTTTATTCATCTGTAGATGCACATTTAGGTTGCTTCCGCGTACTGGTTACGTGGAATGCTGATGTAAACATAGATGAGCAAGTGGCTGCTTGAGACCCTGCTTTGAGGGTTTTTTGGTTTTTTTTTTTTTTGAATAGTGTAAGTAATAGTGCTAGATCATATGGTAATTCTGTTTTATAAGACCAAGGAAATATTTTCCATGGTAGTTTCGCCATGCTCCATCAACAATGTGCAGGGTTCCAATTTCTCACATCTTCATCAACACTGGCTATGTTCTAGGATTTTCTTAATAGTAGCTATTACACTGGGTATAAAATAGAATTTCATTTAGGTTTTGATTTGCATTTCCCTTAGGGTCAGTCAGGGATGTTGAGTAGCTTTTCAATGCTTGTTTGTGCTATTTATATATTTTCTTTGGAGAAATGTCTAATCAAGTCCTCTGCTCACTTTCTAACCACAGTTTGTTGATGAATATGATCAAAGTACATAGTATAATGTATGAACATGACAATGAAATCGATCGTTTTGTACAATTAATATTTGCTACTAAAGTAAACGAAGTAATACAGAACAGACTGTTAACAGTTTAGACAATAGACATCTTATCTTAAAAGTGAGATGCAAGACCATAACGCCATTATAAGTTTACTCAAAGTCAATTCTGTGAGTCTTGAACTCGCTCTCACTGCAACTAAAAACGAAAAAGGATCTTTGGAGATTGGGCAGCTCTGGGTCCCGAATTCAGCCCCTCCTAGCTCCCTCCCAAGAGGAAGGGATAGATGCCCCTACCTCCAGCCTCCAGCAAGAACTTGCAGTTACCTGAAAGGTTTACAATAAGTAGGGCTTTGGAGGACACAACATACAAAGAAGAAATGTTAGTCAACTGTTCTCACAATAAAGTGGAAGAGAAGTTGTGCCCTGAGCAAATCACTCTCCCCAGTTTGTGGAAACAATGTACACAGGAATTTTTCCAGGCTAGGCAGGAGAGGCACACCTTGTCTCAAAAGATGTCAGGAAGGATGTCATCTTCAGCAGGGGAAAAAAGTGGGGGCTGTCAGATGTCTGGAAATTGAAGGACACATAAGGGGCTAGCCAGGGAAGTGAAAAATATGTCATACAAATTCATAATTTGATAGAAGGAATTATGGAGCTGATTATCCATTTTGCTTAAGAAGAGCAACTCCAGTGATTAACCGTAACATCGATTTTTAAATGCACTGATTTTTTTTCCTTCGGCATATAAGACATTTTCTACTTTTTTTTTTTTTTTTTTCTTTTTGAGACAGGGTCTCCCTGTAGTCCCAGCTGACCTGAACTCACTATGTAGACCAGGCTGGCCTCTGCCTCCCAAGTGCTGGGATTAAAGGCGTACGCCACCATGCCCAGCCCATTTTCTACTTTTTTTAAAAAAGAGGAGGAGAGGAGATTATATAAAAAGGCTAACATAAACTCCTGTAGCTGACTGAATGTTTTCTAATGTAACTCTATGCTACATTAAGATTCAATCAAAACTTCGCTGTAGGACTAAAGAGAGAGTAGCGGAAAATGTACGAAGAATTCTGTGAATTTTAAGGATTTTAAATTATTAAAGAACTTACCAAAGTTATTTAATTTTTATATTTTATAATAAAGTCAAAATAATTTTACAATTAGTTGATACTTCTTTCTTTTTTAGGAAACAATAAGATCATGTTGTAACCCAGGTATTACCTTACAATTTAGTGATTATGACAATGACAAAAATTTGATATTCCACTTCTACGTTACTCCAAAAAGTGTTTTCACATTTTCATAAGCCACACAGCCAATGCCCACTGCAGGAAGCAGCTTCATGACGTTAGAGGTGAGACCCCTGTAAAACCCCCATTTCCCTTCTTTGTTATATATTTCTCTAATGTGCTGAATCATGGATATTTCTTCTTTTTCCATGATGGCTATAATTTTTTAAGTATAATTCAACATTTAATATTTACACATTAAGCGAGCCAAAGATAATGAGAATTTATAAAAAGTGAAATCATTTCAGAGTATGCCCCACATACAGATTCTGGTCCTGTGTTGCTCAATATGGTAGCGACTATACATGTGGCTATTTCAATTTAATTAAAATGAAATAAAACTAAAATTTCTGCTCTTCAGTCACATTAGATACAGCAGGCTGGGAGCCTGTAATGAAAAGTACAGGTATAAATCATTTCCATCATTGCAGCAAGCTCCCTTTGACAGGCTGCACATCTTCATGAGAGACCTCACAGAGGCATGTGGACTTGAGACTGGCACAGATAGTTTGATAGAAGAATATATGAGTGATAATGGATAGAGAAATTCTCCATCTCAATCACAATATCAATCCAACTCAAAGCCTACTGCAAAGGAGGAGAATGTAGAAGTTTACCGTCTACCATGGACCATCTTAGTTTCCTCAAGAACATAATAGGATTGTGTGAGGTTTTTTCTTCTTTGCAAAGTGATAAAAAGCATTTTTTAAAATCTATGACCCTAATATTTCATTGAGAGAAACAAACACGTACCCTCCCTTCCACCTAATACCTCCTCCCTAAGCAGACAGAAACATAAAAGAGTTGAGCTCAGTTTCATGAGTATTAAGTCCTGATGCAGAATATGGCGATGGTGCAAAACCTGGGAGATGCCCAGTGTGTCTATGAGTAGCTGCTGATTCAGTTTTAGAAAAGTAAAACCTTTTTTCCTATTGCTTTACATGGTACTTCCTAATCAAAATCACCTTAAAGAGATCCACAGTAACTGAGGGGAATATGGAGATCTCCAAACAGAACTTTGGAGAAAAAAATAACCTCTGAGGCTTACAAAAGTTTCCAACCAAAAGAATAATAAACGCAGGTCTTCTGCTTTAAATCAGTTAGCTTTTGATTTATTTATCAATACTGTAGATTTTTTGCTTTCAAAACAATCACTTCATACTTATTCAAAATATTTCTTACTTTCATGTCTACTTCATTAAAATAGTAAAATAAAACGAAAAACTCACCTTCTGCCTGCATGTGAGTTCTAAGAAGGTTCAGGGGGAAACTGGCTAGCTGGCCACAACTGTGAGACACTATGCTACAGCCCAGCAGGATTATTATCCCAGGGTCCACAGACTTTCCTTCATAATGTTCTAGCCAGTAATTCTTCAGAAGCTGGTAGAGAAGAGAGTATCTTTGATCTTATGACTCTAAGTATAATAAGGTTTCAGTACTTGAGATCTGCACTCTTGCATTTGTATCTCTGTATTCTTTATTTGGTTTTTGTTTTATTTTTGCCTGTTGTTTTCCTTTTCTTCTTTGTTTTGATTTTTAAAAACAATGAAGAGAGGAGGCTGCAATGACAAAAGACTGTGAGCTGTAGAAATGAAAAGAATGGGAAAAATCCCAATATAGACAGCACAATCGAATGTATTTTAACAAGATCACAGAAGCAAGAAAATGACAAAGAATTACATGCTACAATATTGATACTTTACATGTCTACAAAAATATCCAGTTGTATGTGTCAAAATGCTAAGTGAAATGAATTGTCTTTCCCACGATGATGACACTACTTGCCAACATACTGTGCCTGTTCTTAGAGAGCTGTCCTTCCCACACTGAGAATGAGTTTAGGTTACTCTAATCACATGTTCCTGCCTGGCTCTTACAACACTGGCAGATGCTGTGAAGATGGTCTTCCTGAGACAGATGTGTGGTCATGACAATGAAAAGCCTGTAACCCCGCATTGCACTGTCAGGTTTTACTTTAATGCTGTCTCTCATCTCTAGCCCCTGCTTATCCTCTCCTTAATTCTAATCTTTAAACTGAGAAAGAATATTTCCATTTTCCCAACCTTACCTGTATATCAGATTCTTCTGAGAAGTTCAAAAATCTAAACCCTAGACCTTTCTCGAGGTAATGAAATAAGAATACTTCAGGATGTCATCTACTAATTCTGTTTTTAAAGATCCACATGTAAGTGATTCTGATACACATGTAGGGGTAAAAACTATTATTTTATCAGAATTTAGGTCTATAATCATTATTGCTGAGAACTGATTTACCAAAAAATATTAAACAGAAATCACTAGAGTAACTGTCCAGCAAAGAGATGAATCAGGACACTTGGTTTGCTTCTTGGCCAGAGGCTATTTCATGCACGATTGCATATAATTATGTTTTGGAATAAAAATATTGTGTCACATTTCTAAATATAACACATAATACCCTATTTTATGAATGCACTCACCTCATAAACAGCAAGATCTAAGCCTACATAAGGTATAACGCCCAGCAAGTTGGGAACATAAGCTTTGAAAAGATTTCAGATACCCTCTGTCTTCATAAACTTCCTGCTGCAGTCAATAATCCCAGAATACTGTCCAGTTTTACCTCCTATCAGTCTGGTCTTTATTACCTGTGTGTGAAAGAATATAATGAAGATGTATTGGTTAGATCCACCCAGCTAGAAATCCAGTGAGTTCTACTGTATCATCTTTACAGGTTTTACAGAAATCAAAAAAGGTTCGTGTCCGTAACTGCAGCTCTCAGGAGGCTGGGGCAAGAGGACTGCCACAAGTTCAAGGCCAACCTGGCCTACACAGTGACTTCCAGGCAGCTTGGACTGCAGAATGCAATCCTATCTCAAAAACAAACCAAAACAAACAAATAAAAGAAAGCAGTTTTAAGAACACAGAAGATTCTTATGCTATCATACAAAAACCATTAATCAGTGCGCCTTTGGAGGATACATTCACTCAAAATCCTCTGATGTGCTCTAAGGCGAATAAAATGAATTCACTTGCAATGACAGTGATATTACAAATATAAAGTAAATGTAACCCAATTTTTTGAAGTTCATGGTTATATTGAAGTGAAGAATGAAAATGAGAAAAGCACTCCACAGCCTATGAACTATAATCAACACAATTTGGGTTCATTCTGGGCTCATAAAGTAGTGCTCTCATAGAAGCCATTAGGACAACAGTAGGTGCCAGCTGACTCTGTATGATCACAATTCCCATGCCCAGTACAAAAAGAATCATTCTTTGCTGTCTAAATTACCATTCACATATGTAATGTCACTCTATAGGGGCATGGAAGAATGGGCCTTCCAAGCATCCAAGTCAAAAGCTATACACTCTGTTGATGGGGCCTCTGCTCAGCCAGTAGGAAGCCTTTTGTTCCACGGCTTCTTTGAGAGCCAGACATTTCAGATAATCCCATTCTTAAAATTCTCTGTCTTCTGCAGGACAGTGTACTTTCTGCTTACCCAAGAAAATCCTTCCTATCTGATAAACTGGGATGTATTTTCTCCTTACTCTCTAGATTAAGATCATCTCAAAATTTTCTCCATATTAAAACAACAACAACAACAACAACAACAACAACAAAAACAAATGCCAGGCATATTGGCAGAGGCAGGCAGATCTCTGTGAGATGGAGGCCAGTCTGGTCTATATAGTGAGTTCCAGGCCAACTGCGACTACAGGAAGACCCTGTCTCAAAAAAAAAAAAAAAAAAAAAGAAAGAAAGAAAGAAAGAAAAAACAAACAAACAAACAAAACCACTCCATTTCCCTTAGACACCTCCATGGCTTCAAAGAACATGTCTCTGTAGGTGACCCACCAAGACCTGAAATCCCATGTCTCACCATTACATTTGCAGCTGCCTGCTGAAAATCAGAAGTAGATTACCCCAAGTAACTGCTGAAATTAATTGCAAATCTGAGCCATCATTCCTCAGAGTGTGGCTTCTTCCTTCGGTTCTTCCTCTGTAGAGATTAAACTCAGATGCAACTGTCCTCACTCCCCACAGAATCCACCGTTTCTCATTCTTCTTTTCCCTGATTTCCATTTGTCAAGGTACCCATCTTCACAGCATTCTACAGGAGGTAATTTCCCCTAGCCACCATTATATTTAAACTTATCACTTCCATGAGTGACAATAAAATAATTATCAAGATCATATTTCAAGCTCCACAGACTATAATGACTTCTTTTTTTTGATTAATTTATTTATTTTTTTTAAATTATTTACTTAATAACAACATACTTAGAAGAAGCATATCATTACAACACAATTGACATATTCAATAACGGTTTCCTGAGGTAGGATGCATCTCTTTCAAAACTGCCTGTAAATTTTTAGGTTTACAGTTGAATTATTACAGTTATACAATATTGTACTCAGTATAAACCCTATAAGACATAAATTAAATGA